CGTGATAATCTTATCAATAATTATCGTCGTCGTCATGACTTATTAAAGTTTTCTCAGCTGCTGTTGCCATTGTTGCTACTTTTTCAGCTGCTTCAGAAACTGATGCTACTGATATATTGCTGAAATACAAGGTACTCATTTAATTAAATGACGTCCTCTTTGCGTTATATGATGTCCTCATTACATGATCTGATGTCCTCATATTATTTAAAGTCCGCATTATGTTAGTGTGGATAAATATAGTATTGCAGAGATTTTAATGTCAGCTTGATTAATTAATTCATTAATTGGTTATTCTTCTTATTTCTTAGTCTTTGGAAACTAAACTTTAAAGTATGTGACGTGAAGTAGAAAAATAAATGAAAAGATTATCTCGACCGGATCTTTTTAATCGATATGCTCCTAACTGATATTGATAATTCTGACAATATAACGATGATCGATATTAAAGTATTCTCCCTATAGATAAAGAAACTAGCAAAGAAACGTATTGAAGATTTTCTCGTATATAAATCAGACAATTTTCCTTCTTCATTACAACGATATCCATCTTGATCCAGGTATCTGGATAAACATTAATCATTCTGCAGTCTGAAAAGAAGATGGAGCATCGTTGGGCAAGCCAACTTCCTTCTTGTTAGCTATAAATCATGACAAAGTTAGATGCAGATCGACTTCTTTCAATGAAGGCGTTTTAAAAAGTCAATATTTATTTCCAAATCTTGAAAGATATATTGCTTCATTCTGTACGAAATGGGCTGTCAAAGTGGAAAATATAGTTTATCTCCTATTTTAGAGACCTATTATTATTATTATTATTATTATTATTATTATTATTATTATTATTATTATTATTATTATTATTATTATTATTATTGTCATTATTATTGTTGTTATTATTATTGTTATAGCAGGCTGGATTGGATTTTGCAAAGACACTTAAAGCAATTTCATGAATGAGATGTTTATGTATAATGTGACTGATCTCTGAACCATACCCATGCAAATAAAAAACCAACAACGGAGTTAACAGAACAATAGGCACGGAGTTCAACAAATGATGTAAAGAAATTAATATCGTTCCTAAATGGATCTAATCAGACCATGAAACTTCAACCGGTAATCAAACAAGAACCAACGTATGGAACTATATTAAGAAATACGATTTAATATATGGATCAATCACTATGGATGATCAAAATGTTGAATTCATACACAAATATGAATAATGTATGATTCCATCACCAGAGTATCAACGTATGGGATTTGTACAAAATGATCAACGATGTATGGCTCAGTCACCAAGGGTGACCAAAGTGCATAATTTATACAAATTTATGAATAATTTATGCTTCTTCCAAAAGTAGGATATATGTATTGTTGAGTTTCATTTGAATAGAGATATTGAATTATTGATTTCGATCATAGATTGATAATGAATAATATTGATTCAACAATGGAATATAAGTATTTCTGGTTCCACAGCTGTTGAGGAATAGTCAGTGAGTCACCAAGCATTGCTCACCCTCCCAACCTTCCTGCAGACCATTTGCTCCCTCACTGCGTGTAAACCAATACCGTCCCTCGAGCCAACGTTGCCATCGACCGCAATAAAATGGATGCACGAATTCTACGACTCTCATCACAAAGGATCTTTACTAATGAAGATTTATTTGCTGTTTTGCTGTTCTTTCATTTTTTTTTTTCGCAAAGTGCAGTTTCCTGACAAAATTTACTGCATTGTAACAAGACATGTCGGCCATCGGAGAGTTTGATCCAAAAATACCCTAATGGTGGTGAAACTCCACAGCTAGAGAACTCAAGGTAATCGGGTTTCTCGTTGCAGGCACTTTGCGCAAAGGGTAAACTGATATGAAAATTACTACACCTGAAAAAAGAAACCCACTCTCGGGCGATGCTGAAGGACTCACGGTACTAATTCAGTTTCCAGAGTAAACATATACACCATGATATTAAAAATGCAATAACTTATAAAGTTTTGAGTGCTCATGGTCAAACCTATATTTATCAGTATAGCTGAAACCTGGATGTCAGCTTCTGTGTAGAGGAAAGGATATGAGCCGCGACATTTTCTGGACCAGTATGTATTTGAAACGTGCTTTCAATATTGCACCAAAGAGTCAGGTGTTTATTTTAGTAATGAGTGTTCAAAGCTCAAGACTTTTAAAGGACAGAAAATCCATCAATTAGGCAATGTCTTTATTTTTCTACCTACAACTAAGGTAAGCTCTCAAATGATTCTTTTGTTCCTAAAACATAACTTACAATATTAACCAATCATGGTCAGACAAACCATATATACTCTATTTTATGTGCACCAATTTCCAGACTGGTTCCCATTTTTCCATACCATTTGTACCGTGTGTCCTGAACGCTAAAAACAATCCGAATACATTTTCCTTCATATGATGCATAAACATTTTACTACATACAATTCCGTGGCCATTATTTTCTTTATATATCAACAATAATAGATAGAGGAATGACATATTGGAAAAGCGTTATTTTGTAAAAGTGCATTGTGAAAGAAGTAGTAAGTTTTGTAAACCATGGAACATCAAAGCTGTCGTAGATTGTCAGCGTTGAATGAAAGTCCATTTTATAACACATTGTTTTATGATCACATTGATTAGTATATACTGTGTATTGTTTGCTGTATGATGTGAGTAGTAATGTGAGGTCCTCTGGCACCTTACGTGAATAAAGATTACGCCGTAGGTTTACAATGTGGGAAAGTTTGGCCTCTTAGTGGAATGGTAATGTTAAAATTGTCTAAAGGTAAAACATGCTGGGATCCGGAGAGTCCCATGTATGAAAACGATGGAGCTTAGCATATTTAAAAAATATATTAGACTCTCTGGCCTACAATTATAAAATTAACATTTAACTATCCAAAATTCACTTTTTCATTACTATCCAGCACCAGCTTTTTAATTAACATCCAATGCACACCTTTTGTTACTATCCAATATCCCATGCATACTATCCAGTACCAAGTATGTAGTAACTTAAAATCTAATCTGAGTAAACGGGTACCTCTGGTGATGCATTCTCCTTCTCATTCTTTCCGTTGGACCTATTCTTTTTCTTGTCTCAATAGGAGCTATTTTTCCCAAATCAGGAGAAGCGTCATCCACTACTTTTGAGCTCTCAGACTCTAGTCTGATTTGACTGTCATGCCTAGACTTTTCATGTCCATCGCTAGCCTCATATCACTTTCGTGCTGCTTGTTTCTATACTTGGGAAGACTGCTTTGCACATTCTTAAATTTACTTCGAGTATGCCCACTCGGTCATATATATATATATATATATATATATATATATATATATATATATATATATATATATATATATATATATATATATATATATATATATATATATATATATATATATATATATATATATCCTATCTTGTTAAAATTCATAACGGTCAATTTAAAGGCAACCCAGATCTGTTAAAAAAATGCACTGATTAAAAAGATTGCCAAAAGTCTGTATTTTGTGTTTGAATGTATTCGTCGGTTCACAACAAAATTAAACTTAAAAAGCCTATTCTTATGTCAACTTACTAGGACACAGACATACAGTCCCACTCACTTTCTGCCATTCACATAGATGCTTGGTTTATATTGTACTTAGATAAAATTAATTTTGTTTGTATTTTTTACTCCCTATGTAATCATTGCTAAAGTCTATCAGTAACCTTCCAATATGGATTTTGATGCCACCACTATAAAGATCATATGAGTGAAATAGCAAGGGACAGTTAAATATCATTTCAAACATTGGTATAATATTAAACAAATTTCAAAACAAGCAAGGGACTAAGCACCGTGTCCTCATGGGATGATTCTGCAGGAATTCTCTATGCAGTCCTGCTTGTGCTCTAACACAAGGGATAAAAAATAGTGACGTGAGGAAATTAAAAGTTTGCATGGTTAGAGTTTCGTCTGCTAATCTGTCAAATCGGCGACAAATAACAAAAATGTTATTTGGCACAAAAGTTTAGAAGAACTTGTAAGTAATGAAAACGATTTCAAGACTGTACAGTATCAAATGATTTAAGACTTTGTACAGTATCAGATGAGTACAAGACTTTGTACAGCAGAAAAATTAGTACAGGACTGTGTACAGGATCAGATGAATATACGACTTTATAGAGTATCAGATAAATACAAGATTTTGTAGAGTATCAGATGAGTATAAGACTGTACAGTATCAAATGAGTACAAGACTTTCTATAATGTCAGATTAGTATAAGACTTTATACAGTATCATATGAGTATAAGACTTTATACAGTATTAAATGAGTAGAAGAGTTTGCAGAATGCCAGATGAGTTAAAGACTTTATACAGATTCAAAATGAGTACAAGGCTTTGTACAGTATCAAAATGAGTACAAGACTAAATACAGTATCAAATGGGTAGAAGACTTTGTAGAATGTCCGATGAGTATAAGACTTTATACAGTATCAAAATGAGTACAAGGCTTTGTACAGTATCAAAATGAGTACAATACTTTATACAGTATAAATGGGCACAAGAGTTTGTAGAATGTCCGATGAGTATAAGACTTTATACAATATAAAAATGAGTACAAAGCCTTGTACAGTATCAAAATGAGTACAATACTTTATACAGTATCAAATGGGTGCAAAACTGTAGAGTATCACATGAGTATAAGACTTTGTACAGTATCAAATGAGTATAAGACTTCGTATATTATCGGACGATGTGATATGTTTATGATTTTTAACGTAGCTTTAACAATTTTTCAGTCCTATCACTACGATGTCTGCAGTGTGGCAGTTTATAGTGATGTCTAGCACTGGGGCATTATGCCACAGACATGTAGCATGATGTCCCACCTACTCAAATTATCCTGTCACCAGGCTGACCAGTCATAACACTAACTTATTAATGCTGAGTGTCAAGCGAGACAGCTTTTAGTACCATTTTTGTAAGTCTTTGGTATGACTCGACCTGGGATTGAACTCACGACCTTCCGCATCCGAGGCTGACGCTCTAACCACTAGGCCACCGGAGCGGTTTATTATCGGACGAGTATAAGACATTGTACAGTATGAGATGATTATAAGACTTTGTACAGTATCAGATGATTGTTCTTGAATTGTGTAATCTTACCAATTATGAAAGGTTCTTGTGTCAATGTCATGTAGATAAAAATGAAATGACAAAAAAAAAATTGCAAAGAATTTATTTTATTTTCATCATGAAGTGGTAAATAGGGAGCTACCGATATAATATTATATGAGGACGTCCTATTTCGCAGAACTTAATATTCAAATTGGAATTTCAAGATTTATATACATTTAATATTATATTACTAATCTAAATGCATTTAATTTACTACTCCACGATAAAATTTGTTCATAAGTGGAGTGAGTCTTCAGACAATAAAACTCGAAAAACTTGAAAAATTCTTGGTGATTTGCAATGAGGTGCTGGGAGGGACATTCATTTCTCACGCAATAAGTAAAGGTCCGTAGCTTTGCAAAAATTAAAAAGTAAAAAAGAGCTAAAAGACTTTTAGTTATGTTTCATACAACAAATACATCGATTTGGTATTAGTCTTTAGTGCAGTTATTGCCTTTTAAACAAATATAAACAATTTGTTCATTCTAACGGCTTTTCAAAAATCTCCACTAGGATTTCTACTAACAACGTTTTTTAACTACCGTATAAAACTGCAAAGAAACAAAAAAGAAAATTAATGAGATAAACATATAGGCCTAACATTACAGTAACCAGTATATATATAAATATATGACGGGTGAAAGCATTGTAGGTTGTTTTGTAAAAAAGATGATATAAAGGGCCGAAACTCTAACTAGCTTAAATCTGACTTATGGAGCTCCACACATACAGTATTGATTTTTATCTTCAAAAGATTGTTCTGTTAATTTTTTTCCTTGTTGCTTGACGTACTCTCAATTTAGCAAGCCTTGGTTCAGATAACCCCATCTACACTTTGGCGGATCGAACAGGTATATTAGTGCATTTTCATTGCGACATCTATTGGATTCCATGTGTTGCCTCCCTTAGTATGTAATGACAGCTACTAAAGAGCGTAGTGTATTGTAAATGGGCCGTAAACGGTGGTGGCAATAGAACCAAAAAGGATATATTGTAAGTTTAAAATCAAAAGTATGACTATGTACCAGAGGGAAGCCACTACAGGTTTATTTGAGTCAAAAGTATTTGTGCAAACATGGACCAGCACTGGCAAAGTGCCTTTTTCAGTACATTCAAGTTGCGTGCTTCCATAGTCTCGATCGCGTAGGAGCAGTGTTCAGACTTGAATAACACAATTTTGATTAGATGCGGTGGCTTGCCGCCGCATCCATTGAAATTCACAGACTCGAATCACAGAAATATCTGCTCGATATGCCAAGGTGTAGATAGGCTTATCGGAACCTTGGCTAGGGAAGTTGGATGTACTCCATTAAAACCAATCAACAACTAATGAAGTTTTATATCAATTATGTGTAGAAAAATGATATCGATTGAGGAGGTTGTGTTGGAAACCAAAGATCACTAGATAAAATGCAGAGATCAGCAAGTTGTATATTTTTTTCTCAAAAAGCGTAAAACCAGGTCAGGATGTCCTAAGATGACAACTACGTCTGAGTCAGCTCCAGCAATGTGCGTTTCCAAGTGCAAAACTAAATATATGAATGATGTCATATCACAGTTTTATAATTCAGTGCAATATACAAAACGGAACATGACATTTGAAGGATACACTTTTTTTTTAGAAACAATTACTTTGTAATCTTTGTAAATTAACAACATGTGGGAAAAAAATGAACACCAGCAAGGAAAATAACCTTTGTGTAAATATTTTCTTCAGAGAAGATGATAGACAGATAAAAATAAAGTTGTTTTCTGTAGTAAATTTTGGTGCTAATTCGATGATCATAAATGCCATAAATTAAATTGCTTTCTATGGAATTCAGACATAATCCTTAACAAGTTAAATTTGTGTAGTCCGATAGGAAGCAAAATGTAATACAGTAGACTTGTCCAGGTCCATTACTCAAAGCCCGCTTCAGAGGTCTAAGTGGCTAGAGCGTCCGCTACGGATACTGAGGTCGCTGGTTCAACAATTGTATTAACCGCTGCTTCTTTAGGCGCTCAACATTAAGAGGTTAATGATAGAACTGGTTGGACTGATATCAGGACAATGTGACTGGGTGGGACATGAAGCTACATGTCTTTGGTTTGATGCCCGTGTGTTAAACGACACTATAAATTGCCACACTGCAGACATCTTAGCGATATGACTAAAATTGTTAAAGCTGCGTTAAAAATCCAAGTCACACACACAAGATTAAACATGTTATCCGATTTTTCATTATTTACGTATGAAAAGAGGTCTTATGGTACGGAAATTGTCAACCGTAAAGAATTTTTGAGGTTGCCATTTTATGACATACAAGAAATATGTTTAAGCAAAACTAAAAAAATGTTTTAAAATAAAATAAAATAAAATAAAATAAAATAAAATAAAATAAAAAAATTAATAGTATTTCATTAGCATTTGAATTATATGACACGAAAATATACAAAACCGAAATGTTTTTGGTGAATCACTTAGTCCAGCTTAGACCCTAACTTATTGTGATTAGATGCGCTTAAAAAGCTATGCCAAGCTTGATCATGATCAGTTTGACTGCTGGTATGTAAAATTCAGGTTTTTTTTGAAATTTTGGATCCTTCTTTCCACCTGATCTGATCCAGCTCTGGCATGTACAGTTTTTATTTTACAACATCATACAGCTACAAATATTATTAAATGTACTCTCTCTCAGTCTGTCTGTTTATATATATATATATATATATATATATATATATATATATATATATATATATATATATATATATATAACAAATCATACACATTATATAATAATAAATGCACATCGTATTATAACCAACTTGCATTATATACAAATTAGTGCACAACAACAACAACAATAATAATAATAATAATAATAATAATAATAATAATAATAAAAATAATAATAATAATAATAATAATAATGCTAACAATGATGATGATAATAATAATAATAATAATAATAATAATAATAATAATAATAATAATAATAATAATAATAATAATAATAATAATAATAATAATAATGACTTTGTATAGTACCTAATCTTTAGAAGCTCGAAGTGCTTTACAATATTTGGCAACACTTAAAAAACACTGATATGATTACAAAAAATAAAAATAAACACCTCGAAATTAGAAAACAGTGCTTGTGATTATATCGGGATAAAATTCATCATTGATAAGAAGTAAAATTTACATTTACACCTTATTTAATAAAATGTGACAACAAATAAATTATTCTTGGAAAAATGAATCTTTAGTTAAAACATCTACTTGGTTTAATGACTATATTGTATTTATTTCAAATATTAAGAAATATTTCAATAATGCATAATTCTGTCTCAAAGTGTAACTCAGACAATAAAATATAAAGTTGTATTTATCGTATTCTGCATTATAAGATGATATATAAGGTACATCAGTTTACGTTTCTAGTAAGAATCCAATACATATAAATAAAACACTTTGGACTTTTACTCTGCTTGTGAAACTTTGCAAGTCATAAAAAAAAAATAAAATAAAATAAACAAATACAAAATTAAAACACCATGAATATGTTTTCCCTTGACAGAAGAGCACAGACCTTTCCAAAGCACATATAAACTTCTGCTTTATGGATGATTACACAAATGAAGTATTATTTTGACTAAAATCAACGTGTCATGAAACAAACCTGAATGCCTGATGCTCCGTTTGGCAACTGCAAAACACGTGTCCTGAAATTGCTTATGCAAATTGGAATATACAGTTAAGTGGAGGTGATTCTGATCATACCCATGATAATGAATTTAATGCCATTGCAAGTACATTTGTAAAGTGTCATTGCCGACATAATAATATAATATACCCGATATTTAGTACAACAGAGTTCATTAGATCATGTATGGCACAAGGAGTCTGGACAAAGGGCTTTTGTTCTGCAGCACAGTTGTTTGTCCCTGTTTGACTATCGGCCGTATTATTGTGCTATCGCTGTTGGGGTGGGGCAGGGAGGGCTGATATCATTTTTGAATAACATTTGATAATATAAATGCTTGAGAACTGACGTGGCCTTTTGTTTATGAGTTTTGAGACCTAAATAATTCACGAACAGTCATCGTCAGTCCGACATTACTGTGAGAACTATCGCCATCTAGTCCTGTCAAATATGAGAAAAACTATATAGGACAAAGAAACGCCACGCTTAGGAACATATTTACACGACAAAGATTGGATATAAAAGCAGTGATGTAACACACTAGTTTCCAACAGTTTCTATCGTGCATTCATTAAACAATAACGGCATCCTTTCAATTCAATAAATAGAAGTCTAAGAAAAATGCAGTTAGGGATTTTTCTTTCATGAATGCGACATACCTTCAGGTCTTAATTTTCAAGAAGAAAGGGGAAAATAGCGCTTATTTCATTGCTTATAACACAAACGCAGCACGAAAAGCAAGATCGGTGAGAGATGAGGACATAACAATATAATAAAATCATTCAGATATTCTTCAGCATAAACTTTGCACAGCATTGTAGAAATAAGGATTAAGGTCACATTTTAATGAGGAATAGACTAAAGAACTCGATTAATTCATCCTATGGGGAATGTATATTAGGATAGTTATAGCCCTTACATTAACTTTAAGAGCAACCTATACTAAAATAAATTAACGACAATGAAGCAAGAAAATTCAGTGCCTTTTTGTCCCCCGCCTTCCGTTATGGGGTGAAAAATACACAGTAAAGATGTATAATTGCAACTTTTGTGACGGAGCCGTAGAATTGACGGCAGACAGGGGAATTAGAAGGCTTAATGGTTCTTTCTGATAAAAACCCATTTGTGTAAAAGTTCAGAAAAAGGAAGAAATTGATCAGTGATCTTGGTTTGGCTGCAATACATGAGGTGCTTTCAAAGCGAG